ACCTATTTGTTTTTCAAACAACTTGTTCACGAGCCTCTAATAAGTGGCTCCGGCATTTTTGAGCCCGAAGGGCATTATATTATAACAATATGTGCCGAAGTTCTTTATGAACAAAAAAAATTCTTGATCTTTAGGGTTCATCATAATTTTATTGTACCCGGAATAGGCATCAAGGAAACTCATTAACTCATGACCAGCCGTGACGTCAATCATTTGATCGATGTTTGGAAGTGGGAACGAGTCTTTCGGGCACGCCTTATTCAAGTTCTTGTAATCTACACAAATTCAAAATTTATTATTCTTTTTCGGAACAATAACTACATTAGCTAACCAGTTGGGATACTTTTCCTCCCAGATTGAACCGATGTCAAGTAATCGAGTCACCTCTTCTTTGGCAAACATGTTTCTGACCTCAACTATCGGGTGCTTTTTCTTCCTTACCAGTGAGATAATTGGGTCCAAGCTTAGCTTGTGCACGACCACCTCTACCGGGATACTTGTCATATCCACATGCGACCATGCAAAAAAATCAATGTTAGGTTTAAGAAAATTAGTAAAACTTGACATGAGCTCGGAGTTGAGGCCTGTCCCAGGTGGAATTTTCTCTCCAGGAATTTTTTGAACAAAACCACTTGTTTGAGTTCTTCTGCCATGGACTTGGTCGTGTCTATATCGTCTGGTACCTTAAAATATCTTGGTACCTGGTAGGATTCCGATGGCTCCCCCATTTGTCATCTTCATTCGGTTCGGGAGCGGTTGTTGATTCCTATAATTGCTATGTGTCGAGTTCCTTCCCTTTACCGGTGGAAACCGATACCGCATTCATTTCCCTTCCTACCGGTTGATCCCCTCTTATTTGTTTGATTCCATCTAGAGTCGGGAATTTTAATATTTGGTGATATGTTGATGGCATGGCTTTCATCTCATGTAACCATGGTCTACCGAGAATTATGTTGTAGCCCATGTCACCTTCCACCACTTCAAATAAGGTGGTCTTCGTGACCCTTTCGGCATTCGTAGGTAGCAAGATCTCCCCAGGTCGTTACACCTGCTAAGTTAAATCCGGTGTGGAGTTTTGTCGCCTGAATGATGCTTCCGGTTAGCTTGGCTTGTTCTAGCACTATCCATTGAATGATGTTGGTTGAACTTCCAGGGTCAACCAAAATACGTTTAATCTTGAAATCTAAAACGTTAAGAGAAATTACCAGGGCATCATTGTGCGTTAGAAGAAGTCCATTCGTGTCTTCTTCCATAAAGGTGATGTCATCTTCAGAGACTTTCCGGAGTCTTTTGCTATGAGTCATTGATACCTTTGTCTTCTTAGATGCCGAGAAAGTTACATTATTGATCTTGTTCCCCCCAAAAATCATGTTGATAGTTAACCGAGGAGGCTCTTCTCCTATCTTCAGTGGTTCTGCATTGTCTCGGCTGCAGCCATAATTGCTCTTGGCCTGGTCGCTTAAGAATTCCCTAAGATGGCCATTTTTCAATAGTGTTTCTACCTCATCGCGCAGATGTCGGAAGTTCCCAGTTCGATGGCCATTAGACCCATGATATTCACACCATAAATTAGGATCCCTCTGGCTGGGATCAAATCTCATCGGCCTTGGGAACCGTGCTTCCTTGATATTCTTCATCGCCGATACCAGCTCCACTCTGCTGACATTGAAATTATATTCAGACAGCCTGGGATAACTGGAATCCCAAATAATATTTACCTCTTTGTCCTGCAACAGCCTGTTGTTCTGGCTGCGGTCAATCATTCTATCGGGGGCGAAGCTATCCACCGACCGGAACCCGTTGCTATTGCGTCCTTTGGTCCTCTCGTAGGGCAATAAACGGCCCTTAGAAGACTGCCTATTTGCATCAAAATCATCTTTTGATTTATCCCTGTTCTTTTCTCGATTCTGACCTTTGATTGATACCGAAAACCCGAGCAGATCATCTTCTATCCTTATATTTGATTCGTGCGGTTATGGACATTAGCCCATGTGATTTCTTGGACCTCGAGCAAGCTTTCTTTCATCTTTTGGGAGGCTTCGGAGCTCCTCAAGTTAAACCCTTTAGTAAATGCCACATTTGCTCATTTATCTGGCACGACTGGTAACAACATCCTCTCTTTCTGGAACATGATCACGAACTCGCGCAGCAACTCGGACTCTCCTTGCAAAATTCTGAATATGACTGCCTTTCGGTCCTGGACCTTTCTGGCCCCGACATGGGCCTTGATGAAAGAAGAGCATTTCAAAGGAATCGATTGAGTGTTCGGGTAGGAGTAAATACCATGTCAAGGCCCCATCGTGAGGGTTTCTCCGAATTTCTTTAGCAGGACAAACTCAATTTCATGTTGATACAAGTCATTTCCTTTCACTGTTGTTGTATAAGTTGTGATGTGCTCCTAAGGGTCTGAAGTCCCATCATACTTTGGTATGTCCGGCATTTTGAACCACTTCAAAATCAATTCTGGTGTTCAGCTCGATTTGAACGGCAGTTGAGTGTACTTCTTCAAGTTTGGGCCCTTCAATACTGGTGGTGAGCCCGGAATTTGGTCCATTCGAGCGCAAAACTTTTTTGCGTCCCATCCACTCGTTTATTTCCCTCATGAATCCAATGAATTCGATTTTGAAGGGATCATTGCCGTTGTCGTTACTGGATCCGTTGTCGATCCCCTCGGTGTTGTTGAAGCCAACTTCTTCCCTCGGGGTGTTGTTATCAACCCTTTGAGCTATTTGATTTGCGGGAGTGCCGGGAGGAACATGGCCTCTTCCATCCACATTGTTGGTGGCACTTGACAATGCCTGTTTTAGTTCCATTATGGCCTGGTCTTGCCTTGAGAGATGGCTCATGATGGCCCTTTGCTGCTCCTTCAGATCCTTACTGTTTTCATAACGTGCTCATCCTCAGCGTCATCAGGAGTTGTCTCCCGCACATGTCGGGGATAACGCCCGCCATGGACCGGAGCTGCTATGTCCTCCTCGTTGCGGGTGTTACTGATAGAATCTTCATGTTAAGGCAGATTTTCTTGCACCTCAATGTGGTGTGTGATGTTGACATCATTAGCTGTTTTTTTTTTTTTTTTTATGAAATAAAGAATCAAACAAGTTAGTAATAGATATAAGGACCAACTCAATTACGCAGCTGTCTAAGCCCCACAGTGGGCGCCAAACTATTTACCCGTAAAATAATATAATTGAATTTGTTGCATGGTTTATAGACAAGCGAATTGATTTGGTCCGACAATGATAAATAAAATAAATGAAAAGTATAAGAATTAGCGTTGCAATCCAAATAAACAACAAATAGCCTGGTTCGGGGAGCGAGGCTTCCGAAGATAGTAATAAGAACAATGTTAGACAGAAAATAACGTATTATTTAGCTTGAGAATAATGTGTAGCATAAGTTTTGCCAGAGATTTCGTGTGTTATAATGGTTGTTGAAGTCACTATTTATAGCTTTACCAAGAAAACAAGGTCCTAGGATCAAGCCCATCTTAAATGACAATAATGGAGGCCATTGATGGATATGTAACGGCAGGCCATGAATGCCAAAATTCTCTGCAACGGCTGTGTATTTAATAGAGAGAAATATTCTTCATTAAATGTCATCTGGTGACTTCTGTTGATTATGTTCCTTTCGGGACCTACCCGGTCCCAACTAAAGTTGTTGTCCTCGGACTTAGTTTCCACTCGCTTCATTTTCTGTCTGCCTTCGATTCTACGTATCACACTATCATTCAAGCATTTAATAGAAACCGATTTTACCTTATACATTAACTATTTGATGCTCGAAATTTGTGGATTCGACTAAAAATTTGTGTATATATGCTCACGAAGGTGGTAAATCTCTATATATCAAATTGTTCTTCATTTTTTAAAATTCAAACCCAAAACTTTTGATTAAAGAGGAAAGGATTCGGACCGTCCCACCCCACCTACTCCATGATTAAACTTCCTTGTTTGGAGATAGGAAAGGTAAATAGTAAACAAAGAGTGACAAAAGAACATAGAATATTGCACTCTTACTTTTTTTCTTTCAGAGTTGGAAAATGGAGGGGTGGACTATCCAAGGCGAAGACATTAATTATTTATGTGACATAGATATATTAACAAACTTAATATCGTTGTCCATATTTTCAACTAAATATAAGAATTAAAACTTACGATACTTGCCAAATTTGAGTAAAATTGAACCAACAAGAATATTCCAAAGTAGAGAGGCTGACATGTGTGCATACTTTCGTAATAGCATTACTCCCACCTTTTCTTGATAGGGAAAATATTTTTCTTTAATTAAAAGAAAATATGTTTATAAGAAAAATGTTTTTCAAATATTTAAGTCAACCAAATATGAAAATATTAGAAAATATTTTTCAAAAAATGTTTTCCTTCGTACCAAACACACCCTTGAATTTGCAAGTTTCAACTTGAAAACACGTCTTAAAATTTGCGCGCAAAAAACATATAACAATCAAAAGTTGTGGTATGAATCAATATCTTTTACACCGAAAATTAATGCATCTATAACCAAGTGTACATATCTAGTGTGTGTGTATAATTATTTCTAAGCAAATAAAACGTTTCTTGCTTTCCAACAAAGTTATCCTGAACAGAATATAATCACTTCATCAATATGGTAGAATTTAAATATAATATACATACAATGATAATATTAAAAGAACTAAGGAGAATGCATTACTTGAAGTTTTGGCCATCTTCCGAATTAGAGTAAAAGTAAAATAAACACAATATTTCTACTTACATTTAAAGTTCAAACTAATTTACGTAGAAGCAACATCACTCCTCCGCCTCCACCCCCAAAAAGGGGGTGTGGGGGGGGGGGGGG